GGGAAAATTGAATATCCACATGAATATTTTTTGAATGAAGTTGGGCCCTTACATTATATTATATACAAAAATTAACTCAAAATGAATCAAAGACCTAAATTTAGAAATTATATTTGAAGGAAGTTTCACAAAACAACTTAGAAATTCCAAAACTCTTAGAAGAAAACATGGGGGTAAATCTGTATGATCTTAGATTTGGCAAGGGTTTGTTTCTTAAACAGTAAAGCATAGGCAACACAAGAAAAAAATGGATGAATTGCGCTTCATTAAAATTAAAAATTTTGGGCTGGGCATGGTGGCTCACACTTGTAATCCTAGCACTCTGGGCACCCAAAATGGGCGAATTGTTTGCGCTCAAGAATTTGAGATCAACCTGAGCAAGAGTGATACCCCTTCTCTACTAATAATGAAAAAAACCTGGCTGGGTGTTGTGTTCCATGCCTATAGTCCTAGCTACTCAGGAGGCTGAGGCAGGAGGATCACTTAAGCCCAAGAGTTTGAGGTTGCTGTGAGCTATGATGATGTCATGGTGCTCTATCCAGGGTAGGAAAAAAAATTAAAAACTTTGTGTATCAAAAGACATTATTAAGAAAGTGAAAAGATAATCAACAGAATGGGAGAAAATCATTTAGCTGATAAGGGACTAGTATTCAGGATATATAGCTGGACACAGTGGCTTGTGCCTATAATCCCAATTTGGGAGATTTATCAGGAGGATCCCTTGATGCCAGGAGTCTGAGATCAGAATACAGTGAGTTCCTGTTTCTTAAAAAGATATGTGTGCGTGTGCGTATGTGTGTGTGCACATGCACTCACACATGAGGTCTGACAATTAAGGTCACCAACTTTCCATCATGCACTTTCATTGGAAGCACTGTACAAATAACTTGGTAAGGTTTCATAACCTTGGTATATCAGTGTCTCACAGCTGTGTTTGTGTCTTGCCGAGTAGTGTTCATTATTGTATATTTTTGTGTGCCATCATGAGAATGTCAGAGCTTGAATTAGAGCAACAAACAAACATTAAATTTCTTGCTAACTTGGCAAGAGTAGAAGTAAAATCAGGGAACATGTTAGTCCAAGTTTATGAGGATAATGCCATGATGAAAATGGCAGTGTACAAAACGTGTAAAAATGGATTAAACATTTTTTTCTGAGAAAAGAGAAAGCATCACTGATGAAAAGCAGTGGTGGCCAGTAAGGAGCTGAACTGATAAAACATTGTGTATCAAAATCATCAGTTGACTGTGAGAAGCATAGCAGGCCAAGTAAACATTGAGAAACAGTTAAGAAAGTCTTAACTGAAAATCGTGGCATGAGTAAAGTGTGTGCAAAAATGGGCTTGAAGGGGCTCAACAATGAACAAAAAAGAGTCAAAGTTTGCCAAGACCTTTTGGAGAAGCAAGACAATGTTTTGGGCCATGTTATCACTGGTGATGAAACATTGGTGCACAAATATGCCCATGAAATATGGGTGCACACCTTAAACCAAGTGTGAAAGTGCACAATGGAATTCATAATTCTCCATGACCAACAAAGTTTCATCTGTCCAAATCAAGAGTCAAAACAATGTTGCTAACCTCTTTGGATTTCAGAGGGATTATTCATTACGAATAATGAATTTGTATCAACTGGATAAACAGTTAACCAAGTTTACTATTTGGAAATGTTGAAAAGGCTATGTGAAAAAGTTAGACAAAAATAACCTAAAATTTTCATCAAGTCACGGCTCTTGCATCACGACAATGCACCAGCTCACATGGCACTGCCTGTAAGGGAATTTTTTGCTAGTAAACAAATAACTATATTGGAACACCCTCTGTACTCACCTGATCCAGCCCCCACTGACATTTTTCCTTACTGGAAGATAAAGGAAATATTAAAAGGAATACATTCTGATGGCATTCAAGACATCAAGGGTAATATAACAGATAGCTCTGGTGGCCTTTCCAGAAAAAGAGTTTCAAAATTGCTTTGAAGGGTAGACTAGCCCTTGGCGTCCGTGCACAGCTTCCCAAGGGGAGGACTTCAAAGCTGACCACAGTGATGTTCAGCAACAAGATATGTAGCACTTTTTCTAGGATGAGTTTGGGAACTTAATTGTCAGACATTTTTAGATATACATATACATGTATATTGAGGTCTGAATTTATCAGTATATACTGATAGACTTTGTTATCTTGTATAGTGTACCTTTTATCTCTTGTAATTTGCAGAAGTCAAATGTGAATTAAGTATTACAATTTTAATACAGTTTTCCCTTTCTTAAAATGTGTAAACATTTTCCAGCACCCTCTGTGTGTGTGTATGAATATTCTTCAGTCACAAAAAGAAATGGAGTACTAGATCTGCTACACATGGATGAACTTTGAAAATATACTAAGTGAAACCAGCCAGACACAAAGGACACACATTATATGATTCTACTTATGTATCTAGTCTGGGCAAATGCATAGAGGCACGAAGTAGATTAGAGGTTACCAGGGTTGGGGGTGGGGAGTGGAGAGTTACTGCTTAATGGGTACAGAATTTCTGTTTAAAATGGTAACAGTGATGGTTCCATAATACTGTAATTGTAATTGCAATCATTGAACTGTACACTTGAAATGGTTAAGATGGCAAATTTTGTTATACATATTTTACCACAATAAAACAAATAGTGAAAATAAAAAGCCAAGAAAGAGCTGAATTGACAGAAAATGTCAGAGTGGGTTGTGGAGGAGGGAAGCTCACATATCCTAAGTCTGGGGCACAGAAAGGAAAGGTCAAGAGGCTGGGGACAGAAAGAGGATGTGAGAAGGCTCAGAGATCTCTTGAGTGCAGGTTGGTTTTTTTTGTTCCTCAGCAGGCTAAGTTCCTTGTTATTTTTAAAGAATGTGAACATAAGCTAAAGGTGAATTATGAGGTGACAGTGGGAGGGGCTCATTAGAGGGGAAAGAAAAGAAAAGGCATTTATTTAGGTGGCATCCTTAGCTGAGACTACAGAACATTTTAAGCATCACCACACAGCACAGCTGTGCTGTGCCCCCTGATGTGTGTTGAAGCCCTAACCTCCAATGTGATTATATCGGAAATAGGGACGTTAGGAGGTAATTAAAGTTAAATAAATTCATAGGATGGGGCCCTAATCTGATAAGATTAGTGTCTTTATAAGAAGACACACCAGAGATCTTGCCCACTCCCCCTACACCCTCCACTTTGTGAGGACAAGCCAGGAAGAGAACCCTCACCAGAAACCGCCCCTGCTAGACCTTGATCAGAGTATTCTAGTCTTCAGACTGTGAAAAAAACAGATTTCTATTGTTTAAAACCCTTAGTCTGTGATATTGGTTATGGGAGCCCTTATAGGCTAAATTCAAATACTGAGTTAGTTACAAAAGGAAGTTTTATCAACTGTTCTCCCAGAGAAGACAACATTCTCTGCCAATTGAAATCCTACCCATCCTTCAAACTTGAACTCAAATGCCATCTCCTCCAGGAGGCCTTCCCTGATTGGTGGGTCAAAACTGATTTTTGTGTACTCTGGATTCCTACAGCATTTTACCTGGAAGAGTCTCAGTTTGGGTCATCTAATGGACTTCATCAGTGCTCAGTCCTGGGCTTTTTCTCATTCTATATGTTCTCTGCAAGTCAATGACTCGTATATTTCTGAGCCTTCTTACATCCTCTTTCTGTCCTCATCCTCCTTGACTTCACGATGGGGCTACATCCCAATAAACATATTGTGAGTCAAAAATGCATTTAATACCCTGATAAACCCATCGTAATGCGGAAAAATCCTAAGTGCAACCACTATAAGTCCAGAGGTACCTCCATTTATAACGGAGTTGCCTTCCAATAAACATATCGTAAAGTTGAAAAATCATTTGTTGGGGACTGTCTGTATATAAAATGGAACATATTCCTCCAAATTGAGGTCCATTTTTGGTGTTTTCAATTTTAGTGGAGAACACCTCCATCCATCAGCACTGTTTCGAGCCAGATGCTGCCTGGATCTGGGTGACACTTTGCTCACCCTTGCCTCCCACCTCTGTCCTCTCAGGGAAAAGCATTGTTTTTACTTTGATCCCTTAACCCCTTTGTGGCTTTCCTGGTCGAAGCTACTCTCATCTCAACCCCGGACCATGCCAACCATAGCCTTTTGACTTGTCTTTCCTGCTCCCAATCGTGGCCCCCTCTGGTCTGTGATTCTCAGGGTATCCGGGCTTTCATCTCCCTGCCTAAAACTTATTCTTGGCTCTGCAAAATCTGGCCTCTGTCTACCTCTCCAGCCGTATCCCCCCTTCAGTTCTGCAGATACATGCCTCCAGCCTTTACAGGCATTAAGCTCTCTTCCTGGAAGGCTCTTTCCTTTCTTTACATGGTTAGTTTTTACTCATTTCTTTAAAGCTCAACTCAAATGTAATTTTCTCAAATGAGCCTTTCCAGACCTCTTCCTCCTATCTAATTATGGCCAGTCACAGGTTGCACGATAGTGACATTCCCACGGTGCTCTCTACTCTCAGAGCTTTGGCCCAGCTGTGGCTTAGTGGTCAATAATGAGAAGATCACTTCCAGGACACACGTCATTTTCTCACAGTGTGTCTTTGATACCTGGAAAGGTGTCTGACACATACCAGGTGCTCAATTCATGTTGGGTGCATGAATGACTAAAAGAATTTCAGTGCTGCTGTTTTCCAGCCTTTTGAGATGTGAAAATCACCTAATATTCCCGATCCTCAATTTCCCAATTCATAATTCAGGGTGATATGATGTTTTCTACTGGGAAAATTTGTGTACACTGTTCCATACTCAGTGAGCCTACAGCTCATTTGTGCCCGCTCTTATATCCAAATTGTGGAAGCTGGAGGATGCTGTCATCCTGGGTAGTGGGGACTCTGGAAGGACTTCCCGGAGGAGGTGGCACTTGGTTGGCGACTGAGGAAGGAGGCCCAGAGCACAAAGCGCATGGATGCTCGGAGGCGGGGGAGCACAGGGGCGCACGCAGCAGGGTGGCCCACCTTGTAGGCCCTGCAGACGGAAGGTGCGGTGCTCCACAGACAGGCCCACCGCGCTGTACGGCCCATAGCGTAAGGTGACCACCGCCTTCTCCGGCATGGCCAGGCGACTTGCCACCTGCAACCTGAAGCCGGGGCAGGGAAGCAACACTCGTTGCCAGGCAACTGCTCTTCTGGCCACTAGTTGAGGTGGGCGTGGCCATTGCGGGGTAGGGGCGGAGCTCCGGGATCCTCCCCACCCTGCACCAGAGTGGCTCTCGTGACCCTCACCGCTGGGTAAACACGCGAGTTCAATCCGGTGTGGAAAGTGTTAATGATCCATAACAAAAATAACCAACATTTACGGGAAGTTACAGCAATTTTGTGTCATGTGGCGTGCTTGGGAGGCTGAGGCAGGAGAATCACTTGAGCCCGAGAGTTTGAGGTTGCTGTGAGCTGTGATATCACCGCACTCTACTGAGGGCGACATAGTGAGACTCTGTCTCAAAAAATAAAATCAAATTAAAAAAGAGAAGATTCAAAAACAGATATATGCCAGATTCTAGTTTCTAGTCTGCCATTACCAGAAGCAGAAGTTTCCTGTTGAGAATTTGGCTTAAGTCGCCTTAAATCTAGAGGTCAGGATGGGGAATCTGACACCTTTCTGGGCCCTTCCTATTGGTGAACTTGGAATGCCTCTCCTCTATTTAGACTGGCTCCAATGTCTTTCAATACAATTTATAATTATCAGCACACAGTTCTTCATGTCTTTTGTTAGATTTGTTCCTAGACGCTATCGTAAATATCTTTTAAACTGTCATTTTATTGTTTATTGCTGGTGTATAAAATGAAGTTGACGCTTATATAGAGAGCTTATACAAGCTACTTTGACTTCTAAAAATTATTTTTGTTAATTTATTTATTCTCTTGAGTTTTCTGTGTAAACAACCACATTGTCTGCAAACAGTGGCAGTTTTATTTTCTTTATCAAGCCTTCGTCTTTCCCCCCTTCTTATTGCACTGGCTGGAATCAGTGCAATGATGAATAGAAGTGATGGTAGGACCTACCCTCTGTCCTGATTCTAAGGGGAAGGGAACACCTCTAACATCCTTTAGGATGATGTATATTGCAGGGGTTTTTGTTCATGCTCTTTGTTAGGCTAAGCTGATTCTTTTCTAATTCCATTTTATGATGCGTTTTCTAATTGGTAAATAATATTTGTATATATTTGTGAGGTACATGGATATTTTGTTACACTTATAGAATGTGTAATGAGGGCGCGGCGCCTGTGGCTCAAGTGGCTAAGGTGCCAGCCACATACACCTAAGGTGGCGGGTTCGAATCCAACCCCTGGCCCGCCAAGCAACAATGACGGCTGCAACCAAAAAATAGCTGCGTGTTGTGGCAGGTGCCTGTGGCCCCAGCTACTTGGGAGGTTGAGGCAGGAGACTCGCTTGAGCCCAGGAGTTGGAGGTTGCTGTGAGCTGTGATGCCACAGCACTCTACCAAGGAGGATAGCTTGAGGCTCTGTCTCAAAAAAAAAAAAAGAATGTGTAATGAGTATGTCAGAGTATTTAGAGTATCCATCACTAGAAGTATTTATCATTTCCATGTGTTGGAAATATTTCAAGTCCTTTCCTCCAGCTATTTTGAAACATATAATACATTGTTGTGACTGTAGTCATCCTACTCTGCTATTGAGCATTATAATTAATTCCTTCTGTCTAACTGTATGTTTGTGCCCATTCAATAAAATAAAATTAAAAAAAGGAAGATTCAAAAACAGATATATGCCAGATTCATCCCAGCCCCTCCTCAGCACTCTCCCAGCCTCTGTACCATCCTATCATTCTACTCTGTACTGCCACGGGATCAACTTTTTTAGCTCCCACATATGAGTAGGAACAGGCAACATTCGTCTTTCTGTGCACGGCTTATTTCATTTAACACGATGATCTCCTGTTCTATCCATGTTGTTACTAAAGACATGATTTCATTTTTTTATAGCTGAATAATCTCTCACTGTGTATATACACCACATTTTAACATCCATTTGTCCATTGAGAGATATTTAGATGGATTCTATATCTTTGCTCACAGGATTGCAGCAGTGGGATTGCAGGATTTTTTAGTAGTTCTATTTTTAATTTTTTGAGACATCTCCATACTATTTTCCATAGTGGCTACACAATTTGCTTGCCATTATTGGTCTGTTAATATTTTCTATTTTTTCCTGACTCAATCTTGGTAGGTTGCATGTGTCTGGGAATTTCCAGTGTATAGGATCTTTTCTCCAAATCCTTTCTATCAGCTGTTATTTTTTGTTTTTTAATAATGGACATTCTAACTGGGGTAAGATGATATCTCATTGAGGTTTTATTTCCCTGATGATTAGTGATGGTGAGCATTTTTCATATACCTGTTGGCCACTTTATTTTACCCACTTTTTAATGGAATTATTTGTTGTTGTGTTCACTATTGAATCATTTGAGTTCCTTGTATATTTTGGCTTTTAGTCCGTTGTTAAATAGTTTGTGATTATTTTCTCCCGTTCCACAGGTGGTATCTTCTTGCTACTCAGTGTTTTCTATGCTGTGCAGAAGCTTTTTAGTTTAATACAGTCCCGTTTGTCTGTTTGTGGGCTTGTGGCCTGTGCCTTTGAGCTCTTAGCCATAATAGCTTTGCCTAGACCAATAACCTGAAGTTTTTTCTGTATATTTTCTTCTAGTATTTTTGTAGCTTTGGATCTTACATTTAAACCTTTAATTCATCATGAGTTAATTTTTGCACATGCTGAAAGAGAAGAGACTAGTTTTACTTTTCTGCTTTAGGATATGCAATTTTCCTAGCACCATTAATTAAAGAGAGGTCCTTTCCCCAATGTATGTTCTCGGTGCCTTTGTGGAAAATCAGTTGGCTATACATGGCTTTATTTCTGGGATCTCTATTCTGTTCCATTTGTTTATGTGTCCTTTTTTTATACCAATATCATGTTTTGAACGCACTATCCTTGTACCATGTACATACTACAGATATCTTGAAGTTAGGTAGTGTGATGCCTTTGTACCCCAGCTTTGTTATTTTTTTCTTGGGATTACGTTAGCTATTTGGGCTCCTTTTTTGGGTTCCATACAAATTTTAGGATTGTTTGGTCTGTTCTTGTGAAAAAATGACATTGGATACGTTGATAGGGATTGCATTGAATTTGTAGATTGCTTTGGGTAGTGTAGTCATTTTAGCAATACGTTCATTAATTCTTCTTATCCATGAGCATGGAGTGTCTATTTGTTTGTGTCCTGTTGTGTCCTTCATCACTGTTTCATAGGGTGTTATTTTATTTGTTTGTTTTACAGAGGTTTTTCACTCCTTGGGTAAATGTATTCCTGAGTATTCCTGAGTATTTTTTTTTTGGTAGCTATTATAAATAGAATTATTGATTTCTTTCTTAGCTAGTTCCTTATAGGTGTATAAAATACTGCTGATTTGTGTACATTGATTATGTGTCCTGCAACTTTACTGAACTTGTTTATCAGATCTAAGAGTCTTTTGGTGGAGTCTAGATATAAGACCATGCCATTTGCATAGGGGAACAATTTGTTCTCCTCATTTCCAATTTGGATGCCTTTTATTTCTTTCTCTTGCCTGGACTAGGATGGACTATTTTAACACAGTATTGGACTAGGATGTCCAATATTGTGTTAAAAAGGAATGCTGAAAATCAACATTTTTATCTTGTTATAATTTGTACAGGGAAGTCTTTCATCCCTTCCCTATTCAATAATTTATTGGACATGGGTTTTTCATATAGGACCTTCATTATGTTAAGATATGATCCTTCTATGAGTGATTTGTTAAAAGTTTTTGTCATGAACCTATACTGAATTTTATCAAATGCTTTTTCTGTATCTATTGAGATGGTCATATGGTTTTTATCCTTCATTCTGTTGATGTGAAGTATCACATTTATTGATTTGCATATACTGAACTATCTTTGCATCTCTAGGACAAATCCCATTGATCGTGGTGTGTTATATTTTTGATGTGTTGTTGGGTTTGGTTTGCTAGTATTTTGCTGAGGATTTTTATGTTGATGTTCATCAGGAATATTTGCTTGTAGTGTTTGTGTGTGTGTGTGTCCTTGTCTGGTTTGGGTATCGGGGGAATGCTGGCCACATAGAATGATTTTGGGATAATTTCTTTCTCTTCAATTTTTTGGAATAGTTTGAGGAAAATTGATGTTAGTTCTTCTTTGTTAAGTTTGGTAGAATTTGGCAGTAAAGCCAAGTCCTGGGCTTGAATTTATTGGGAGAATTTTTATTACTGATTCAATCTTGTTATTCATTATTGGTCTGTTAATATTTTCTATTTTTTCCTGACTCAATCTTGGTAGGTTGCATGTGTCTGGGAATTTTTTCATTTCCTGTGGGTTTTCCAGTTTGTTAGTGAATAGTTGTTCATACCTCTCTGATGATCCTTTGCATTTCTGTAGTATCAGTTGTATTGTCTCCTTTTTCATTTCTAATCTTTTTTTTTTTTTTTTTT